CAACGGGGGGGGGGGAGACATTGTTGATTAAAATCGGAGGAAATATGTCCATTTGAGAGAAGGATGATTGGTACTACGCCAAAATTATTTCACAAAAATGTAAAATTCACCTTAATCATTGATTATTTGAGGAGGATAATGTGAGGAAGGTTATCGGTGGGGCGCTCTTTTGAGACATGTTATACCCTATAACACATCTGTACACGCTTTAACAGGGAGACAAAGGGTAAGTGTCGCCTAGATCAGCTTTATATTTTTGAGGAGAACAATTTCAGTAAGGAGTTAGCCAATACAAATAATGAATTTTGAGTGAGTCTTACTGCCAAAAAAGCAGGCAAATTGAAATAATTATTTGGCCTTAAACTTATTTATTGATAACGTCTCAATGGAACCAAATACCTGTGAATTCTGCTCTTGAGAAATGGGTGCAAATTGTCGAGAGGTTGCTTCATTAAAGCACAATTACCTCTAAAAACTGGCAATTTATTTCTCACTTCAAACTACCATGACCCCACTGCATGTCATATTCGACCACTTTCACAGTGCTCACCTTTTCTTTTCTCTACCTTTGTGTCTGACTCTTTTATATCTGTGAATCACTCTTCTGCTCCCCCCAACCCCCTCGACTTGTTGTGACTTGGATGTCACACCCCCCACCCCACGCCCCTATGTGAAGTCCGAAGCCAATTGAAGGGCTAATAAAGCTAACTTAAGGCTTGCCATTTGATATAAAAATTCAATATTAGGGGAGCTATCTTCAAAAGACATTTTTTCTGTCTGCATTATCAGTGAACTCAATCAAGGCCTCATACAAGTAGCAAGAGAGGAGACTTTTTAAACAAGTTGGGAAATTTTTTGTAACTTTTTTCTTAAATATCAACAGGACCGTCCACAATCAGCTTCCATTGGGTGGAGGTTAGTTAGCATACCATACCATGCCATACCTTTTGTTGTTCAATGTGTAGGCCTGTGTAGGCCATTAGGGTGCTCTAACGGCTTCTGTTCCAATTCACAGACAGGTGATATTGCTGATTGGCGTTCACCACTATACACTCCATGTACTAGTTTGTATTTACTCATAGAGTGCCTCAGTGATATAAATTGAAAATGATCTTTTTCGGTATTACTCCTTGCAATATCAATAACGTTAATAAAAATTAATTGAAATTAAGATGAAAAGTCGACCTCATAGTTTATCGCTATGATAGGTGGTAGTTTTTTACAGGTGGATTTAGCACGATAGCTGGTTTTAGAAATGAAATGTTGCTTATTAAGAAAATAATTACTAATCTGTTTTCCCTTATCACAATTCCCAATTTTTCAAAGGGTATTTGAGAATTCGTTCACTATACATTAAAAACTACATAATTCATTCATAAATCGTTGTTTTATTTAAAGTTAGGAAGTAAAAAATAGCGTTCAATTTTACATCATTTTTCCCTGTATTTGAGGAGTTTTAAACCGTTCGAGACATCATTATGTCATTATTTTAAAGAAAATTTATTGGTTAGTTTTTCTATGAATCTGATAATGTGTCAAAAACTATGGGAAAAATACTTTCTTGAAAATCTCGAGATCTTCATATACTCCGAGTTTTCAAGTACTGTGGGCACTACTTTACCTTGAAGTGACAAATTCGTAATTTTAATCGAAAAATAGACACAATTGAGCAGAGAAAATATAAAATATATTATTATTATTATTACTATAATAAAAATTCCCTATTAAAGGTCACAAGAACCAAAAATTGAATCATTCTCATTGTAAAGGGGAGGGGGGAGTGGGGAGGTTGGTGAGAGGGGGGGGGATTATCCCGAAATCGGCCTTGTCGAGACCACCTAAAAGATTCGTGTTTATTGAAACAAGTAAAACTTTTCTCATTGTTCTAATAGATTAATAATATGAAGAAATGAAAAACTGGGGAAAAATAGGAGATTTAACAGATTTATAGCGCTTCCCTAGCATTTGAGAAATATATCGAAACACTCCAAATCTAGAAACCGGAATCGACAACTTATGGGGTGTTTGGGGATGAGTTTGACAACTTCACCAAGAAAAAGAAAAGAAGCGCTGGTGGCAGTAGAAGTTCAAGGGTTTAAAAGAAATTCAATAGATAGCCGTCATAGCCTCAAACCGCCCCCCCCCCTCCGTCTCTGCCCCGGAAACGGGAAAAGCCAATTTTAAAATGTCTATTAACTAGTTGGCTTTTGAAGCTATCGCGACAACACCCAAAACATATGTAATATTCCACCTGATCAAGATCTGAATGGAGGGGGGGGGGAGTTGGTGGGCCAAACATACATTGGAACTGGCATATTCGTAAAAGTGGGCTGACAACCTAATTTAGCTTTCCCTCTTTATATCAGGAGGTCGAATCCTGTTACTGCCACATGTGTGGTTCATTATTGTCTATCCACATTCGTTATCCGCGTCTTAGCTACAGTAGTTGTTAGAAATCCCATATAGGCGTCCAAATTTGATCCATATAACTGTTAAAGAATATGCAGAAGGAAATATCACATCATCCACGGTAGTGGTGGAGGAGGATACACACTTGAAAATTATGACAATTTGTCCAAATTAAATTGGCATGACTCGAGGAGGGTCATTTGCACTGTATGCAAGTCAAGCCATCTCCTACTCGGTGTGTTTAATTTCTGGTTTTGGCACCAGCTTTTATTATTGTAAAAGAATCAAATGGCTTGTGCCTCAGTATGATATTTCATCTTGATCAGTTTTTTTCTTGGCTTGCGTGAGATGACAGTTTTCGAGGGTCTTTCTATGAGAATTTGATCCCTACGACACTTACATGAACTTATCTATGTGAAGGTCTTCGTTGAGTAGAAGCTTCATGTTGGAGGTTGGAACATTCAGTGGACTGTGTCAACAAAGTCCTAATTTTAATGTCATAGTGGTCAACACCTTTTTCTGCAGATTATCAAGGAAATCTGCTGTGCAAACACACTCAGCTTACCTAGTCTATTCCTTTGCTTTCCTCTACCCCACACCAGTCTCCAGTGAAATTCTTCCTTCATGGTGGATTCTTTGCCCAGTGTTGAGGAAGTTCTGAACAGCATTCATAACCACCTAATTTCCGTGGTCAGTGCTAATCACCATGATACGAGTTTTGCTCTCTCTTGATTCAGATTGGTTTCAACCATCCTTGAAAGAAAAAACAGTGTGACAAAATGCCTCTTAACACACCCGGAAATAAACAACCAAATATTATTCTGTGGAATTTGTTCCTCCCCCCCCCCCCCCCCCCTCCCCAACACCCTGTATTCCACTCCTAAGACAAACTTACCAACTTTAAAAAAATAAAGTGAGTATGTCACTTTAAGATGGCAAATCAAGATTACGAAGAGCGCGAGACACTCTGTCTGTCAATCCTCTGGTCACTTAATCTTGATATCTGTCTCCTTCTCATCCTCCAGCAGTTTACATTATTGACGGATATCAGAAGGGAAATGTCATCTACCCTAAGAGACTGAGAGATATGTGAATTCTTGTTTAAATGTGAGCATGATAAAGTGGAAAGCACGCACTTACGAATACATGAACGCACTTACCGTTAATGGACCGCTAGTGTGAATTGAGATGAAGAGCGGAGATTACTCCTCTGCCCTATTACCACCCCTCACTACTGGCGACATCTTAAATAATCCATCTCTCGCCCCGGCCGGATTTATTTATCAACCTAATCCCTCTCCCTCTCCCCC